AAATGAACACTACCCCCCTGCCCGCCCCGTACCTGCTGATGATCCCCTTCATCTGGATCTCTTTATCCTCCTGCTGCCGGCGGAGCCGCTCCTCACTCTCCTCCAGCCGGGCCTGGTACTCCAGCACCAGCTTCTGCGTCGTCTCCTCCTGGCACTTGAAGCGGCTCTCATACTCCTCCAGCTTCTTGTTGGAGATGCGGAGCTTGTCCTGCAGCACTACCAGGTCCTGCTGGTACTGCAGCGCCCGGGGAGAGAACACAAGGCACGTTACCCACCAGGCTCTGCCTGGCCGAGGCGCTCCGGCAGCCCCGCCTCGCCCCTCTCCTCGCCTTAAGACTAGCCGCAAACCCGCTAAGAGCAACCCTGCGTGTCTGCTCGACACCTCCTCCTCTTCCGTCTTCTCCGGGCCGCGCTAGGAGCGGTGCCGCGCTTCCGCGGGGAGGCCGGGTCACTGGCAGGTGCAGAGAATGGACGTTAGAGCAGTGGGATGGCGGAGGTGGGCAGGGGACGGACAGCGCGGGGTTAGACGCAGCTGGGGAGGTAGCACCAGGGGCCCGTGGCTTCATGCACTGGCTCTTCCAGTCCGTGGCAATAACTGTGTTACTCTCGGCCTCCGGCAGACACTTCCATGCACGTTCAACCCAAGCGCTCATCCGGCTGGCGGGCTAGGATGCATCGGCCTCCCACCGGTTAAAGGCAGGGGGATCTGCACGAGTTGCAGTGGCCTGAGCCCGGGGAACGTTTCTGCTCGTCAGCTCTCAAGCGAGCCAGGCCGGGGGGAGCAGTCCCATCCTGGCCAGGCACTGATTTTCCATCCCGCCGGCGGGATCAGAATTGCCCGGTCTCAGCAGAAGAAGGTCTGGTGCATGAAGCCAAAACCGCACCCACTGGGCTGTACAGACACACGGACGGAAGGGGTTTTATCAAGGTAGACGGCAGCAAAAGAATCACACGACATCAATGAACGGGGTTAGGGAAACAGGCTTTTTAGACTCAACAGAAATGCGCTCAGCTGCTGTCGCAGGTCAGCGTTCAGTCGAGCTTGCTTGGATAAAGGAAAACTCCAGTGCATAAATATTCAATGGAAAAAAAAGATTTTAATTTCAAAGACGTGGGGGGGACTTCATGAATTGCTTAAAAGTGCACTAACGACGATAGATTTAGAATAAATAGCACGCGAATGGGAAGCTGCCATCGTGACAAATTTGCAATATAGAAAAATAGCTCAATTTGAACTTCTATTTGCATAAAGGCCGAAGGTTTTCGGTGCTGATATATGTAAAGCTCTTTGGATACGTGGTGTTATTCACCACGGAAACACGGTTGATTTTACATGGGTCTGGTCGAGCGGAGCAGCTGTCCTGCATGTTTAACCCTAAAAAAAAGCCTTGAAGAGCTAAGATTTGCTTTTCGGTCGCTGTGGGCATCGCCTGTCTCGGGGAGACGCTCCAACAGAAGCAGGTTTCCCCCAGGTTAATCCCCAGTGTTAAACTTGGGGAGCGAGCATCACTCAAACGGCAGCTCTCGACGAGAGGGAAAAGCCCGCCCTGTGCCAACCAGCCCATCACCGCGTCCTGAAGTAACTGTGACCCAGGCGGCTTGGAAATTTATGACGGGCTTACTTTTACCGAGCCATAAAAGTGTTAGCGTGGGGGCAGGTAGCGAGAGGAGCAATCCATTCGATCCTCCTGCCGGGGCGGACGCCGGGCATCACAAATCACTGTGGTTTTCCTTTAACAAGGCCTTTGCGGGGGCACGGAGACGACACAGATCACGCACGTGCCCCGGAGGGGCGGGGGAGACGCAGACGCCCGCGCGGTGCACGCGGCCGAGGAAGTCAGACAGAGGAGGGTGGCTCGAACAGGAAAGATTGAATACCTACCCTAGGCTTAAAATAGGAGCAGCGTAAGTGAGCTCAAATGATAGCAGGAGAGGCCTCGGGAGAGCGGGGGAGTCGCTCCTGTCTCTAGAACACTTGTCTCATTCTCGGTTACCATTCAAGGCTTACAGTCGTGGGGAGAGAGATTATGCTAATGAAGATCTTTAATGCCAGTGACTGATATGACAAGAAAGTAACAAAGGATGCTGCATGGGAATGAGGCACCCCGCTCCGGGGTGGGTTTTGGCAGGGAGCGGGGTTTACGGCAATGCTGCCGGACGTCTTAATCCTGCCCTGGTCTGCGGGCGCCGGGTGGGGGGGCCCGCAGCATCCAGCCTCACCGGCCGGCGCGGGGAGCAGACTCCACCTGAGGGGCCCCCTGTTAAAAGTTGAGCCCATTTCACTGGGGAGGTTGGCGGGGAGCGGGCGGTTAGTGAGGTGCAGCGGTCAGTGGCATGCAGTCTCTCCCGAGCACGGCGTGGTCTGCCTGTGGATCGGTGCTCGCCGGCACGGCCTTCCCGCGCTGCACCCTGCTTCCCTGCCCTGCCCTGCCCTGCCGCGGCTCAGCCAGGCCCCCTTCCCGCCACGCGGTGTTAGCCGCTCCGTTGCTAGCCGCGGGGCCTGCCGGGATCTCCGCTCCCCTCTCGTCACCGTTTACGTGCATCGAGAAGAAGCGCGCTAGGTGTCCACCTCTTCCCACGCTCTCTGATCGGACCGGCCACCGCCGCCCAGGTCTGTCCGTGCAGAAAGAGACCCAAGGGGGAGAAAGGCACCGCTAACATGGGTCACGTTCTCCAAGGCAGCCCCACGTTCATCTTCCTCTGGAAGACGGGAGATGTCTCTTCGGGCCTCCCTGACCCTGCCGCAGAAAGCCCTGGCGCTTGGCTTGCACTGGAGAGCTGACAAGGCAGCCCAGAGAAGGATGCCGCTCCAGGGACAGCAGCAGGTCGGCATGATGAGGCCAGAGCACGGCCCCAGCCGGGGGGTCCCACAGAGGCTGGGGTGAGCCTGGTGACGGCGCGACCCGATCTGGGGGCGTGAGACAGAGCCGGCTGCTGGGAGAGCTTGCAAAGACCTCCCACCACCTACTGCAATTAGCACGGCTGGGCCGGGAGGCTGCCCACAGGCGGTCCTGGCTCCGGGTGCAGCATCAGCGCTGCCCATCCGGAGACTGCTACAGGCGGCATCTTCCTTACCCTGTGCCCGAGACATCTGGACTCCTAACCCCGCTCCCTCCACTCCAGCCAGACCCACGCCGGCCTCCTCCCTGCTGCGCTCTCCTCGGGCTCGTCTGAGGGCACAGGCGATGCCTCGCGCTGCCTGCGGCCATGGCAGCCGACCTCCCTGGATCAGCGCGCTCACGCTCAGCTTGCGGGCTAATCTCTGAGCTTGGCTCCACGGGCACGAACCTGAAGCCTCATGACCTCCAGGGCAGTCGCATCAGACTTGCGCCACTGCAACCGAGACAGGGCTCTGGCCCCAGCCCTTGCAGCAAGCTGACAGCTGCTGCAAGCTCGGAGGTGGCAGCTCTCCCCGGCCCCCCGTGCTCCTAGCGAGCTGGGAGGACCGTGTTTCCTAAAGGAATAAAGCCCAGCTTTGCGGGTCCTCCTCCCTGCTGCGGGGGTGAGAGGGAGGGGAGCGGCGTGGGGCAGCAACAGGCTCCCGCATGACCTTGCACACTAACTTCACCAGCCCATTCCTGCCCCTTGTCCCCGCGCGGAGCCCCGCCGTGCCCTGTCCCCTGCGGGCGGGCAGCAAGGCGCCCGGAGACCCCGGTCCCTCCGTCAGGAAACTCTCTATGGAGACACTTGCTTCCATCCAGTTGGGTTTTACCTTTTCTGCTTGGCTGAGCTCGTGCTTATCCCTGTGCTTGGAATCTGGGTCAATGCTCTCATCTTCTACAAACTGCATATTCAAAAGCCAAGCAGCAGTGCGGTCCAGGGCATTGGGGTTCACAGGAGAAGGGGCCTACAATGAGACATACAACCACGACAGAAGAAAAACGGTAACAAAAATGGACATGAAGCCATAGAGAAGAGAAGAGAGCGAGCGTGCGTGCGGGTTCCCTTCCAGCCGTGGCCCCCGCCGGGGAGGGAAGGGTGCCAGCTCCCCGAGCGGTCTGGGAGCAAGCGTTGTCACGTCCCTCCAGCTGTTTTCACCTGTTCCCGAGGGGCCTTTTCAGGCAAAGCTCCCCCTCGGAAGCCCCCATCCAGCCGTCACTCGCTGTCGAGCCGACAGACCTCTGTGGCTGGGGGGGTCTCGCGGTGAGAATTAACCTACTGCCAGCAAACGAAAGACACACCTGCCAGCTCTCCTTCCAGCCCCCCACCCCCTCGAGCCTGGGCAGGGTCTCCGTGCCCCCAATGCCCAGCAGTCATCCAGGTGTTTTCCACGCACGTTGCAAACTCCAGCTGCAGCAGGGGAATCTCCTGCTTTCCCTCTACCTCGGCTGGCTCTACCCGCGTGTCCTGGCTCCCTGCCATCTGTGACGGATGCACCTGGCCAGGAGGGGTGCAGGACGCTGTCCCTCTTGGTGCTGTGCGAAGGACGCTGGGATTTCTCAAGCCTTGGCAGTGCCAATAACGCGGGAGTTGGCCCCTTGCGTCCTGCCATGTTTTTTTCCTCTGATCTCAGACAGCGCCCCAGCTCGGCGCAGCTCAGAATCAGATTCAGCGAGAGAAATCAAGCAAAAAGCTGGCCGTGCGAGCTTCCAGCAAGGACTCGGGCCTTCTAATGAAACGGCCACTTGACGGGATTTGTTTGCTCTCAAACAGCGTTAAACACGGCTGAATAGGAACAAGCAGTTTCATTCTGACTTATGTGCCCTGGTCACACACGCAGAATATGCAGACTGAAGCCGGGAAAGGCATCCTGGGGGGGGGAAAACTTTGGGGAGAGCGGGGAGAAGGATTTGCAAACACAGTGCCTGGAGCTTTCCTGGGAGTCCCTGGGCATTCGTTCGGCTCAGCAGAAACACTGTGCAACGGGCCCGGTTGCTGAACGGGCCCTGGCGCTTCGTAAAGCCCAACGCCCTCCCCACGTTACGAGCACTGGACCTGATTACACAGACACCTGTACGCGGCACGCTTGTGCATGCCTGCACTCACGGATCAATACACCGGACACCGAACCGCTCCCAAGCAGATGGCTAAAATGGCCTGTGGCGGGCAGCCCCGG